GCCAGAAGGCCAGGCCGAAGAGCAGCCAGGAGGCGAGAAAGGAGCAGGAGAAGAGCAGGCACATCCAGCGCCAGCGCACGTCCACGCACGTGGTGAACAAGTCGCTCAGGTAGCGCGCGCCCTGGCCGCCCAGGTTCACGAAGCGCACGTTGCAGTGCCCGTCCTTCTTGACGAAGCGCCCGCGGCGCCGCCCCACCGGCGACTGCGCTGGTGCCCACCCGTTGTGGCACAGCCCCGGCCCGGCTTCTTCCTCATCGCCCGCCCTGTCGTCTCCGGACTCCAGGGCGCCGCTGAGGCGGCGCAGGGCCCTAGCCAGGCCCATTGGGCGGGGACACCCCCTCCACTTGGTCTAGCAGGGGGCGGGCGCCCCGAACCTGCGGGGACAAGAAACAGGCAGCCACGTCAAGAGTGCCAGGAATGGGGGCCGGGGTGGGGCTCACTGGCCAGGCATACTTACTGGGCCTTAGTGACCTCATCTGGCAAATGGGTGGGAAATGAGAACAGACTCGACAACACTGATGGTAATACAACAACACAACTATAGTCGTAGCAGCAGTGCTGTGTTACAACGAGCACTACGGTTATTAGAGCCAGACAGTGTTGTGAACACTGTACATGAAGTTAGATATTTCAGCCTCAGCAGTGTAAACATCATCGCCATTTTACAGATGAGGAAACAGGTACAGAATGTTTAACTTGCCCGAGGTCATGGCTGAATAAGCTGGGATTTGAGTGCTAGCAGTCCAGATCCAGAGTCCAGACTCATAAAGACAACACTAAACAGTCACAAAAAAAAAACAAACTTATGGTTACCAAAAGGGAAAGGGGTGGACACGGGGTGAGGGCTGGGGAGTGGATAAAATTGGAGTTTGGGATTAACAGATACATACTACTGTATATAAAAGAGATAACAAGGACCTACTGTATAGCACAGGGAACTATATTCAATATCTTGTAATAACCTATAATGGAAAAGAATCAGAAAAAGTACAGATATATAACTGAATCACTTTGCTGTATACCTGAAACTAACACAATATTGTAAGTCAATTATAATGTAATAAAAATTTAAATTAAAAAAAAGACTGAATGGTAACTGCTGATCTGTATGGAGTCAGCTTGGAGAGATGAACCAGGGCTCTAAGGTCAGCTATGACTCAGAAGGTCAGAAGGAACAAACGACAAAAGGAAAAAAAGATCAAAAGATAGCTTGAGCTTCATCAAAATTAAAAATTCTTGTGCTTCAAAGGACCCTAAGATGAAAGTGAAAAGACCATCTGCTAATGGGGAAAAAAATATTTGCAAATCATATCTAAAAAATTTGTATCTAAAACATATAAAGAGGCCTTATAACGCAATAAGAAAAAGACAACCCAATTTTAAAATGGGCAAAGGATCTGAATAGACGTTTCTCCAAAAAGATATAGTTGACCCTTGAACAATATGGGTTTGAACTGCATGGTCCCACTTATATGCAGATTTTTAAAAATAAATCCTAGAGTAGTACTACATGTTCTGTGGCAGGTTGAATCCTTGGATTCAGAACCATGGATACAGAGGATCAACTCTGAAGTTTATACTCAGGGATTTTCCTGGTGGTCCAGTGGTTGAAAATCTGCATTGCAATGCAGGTGACCCGGTTCCATCCCTCGTCAGGGAACTAAGATCGCCCATGATGCAGAGCAACTAAGCGCAAGAACCACAAATAGAGTCTTTGCACCACGAGGAAAGATCTTGGATGACACAACTGAGACCCGATGCAGCAAATGAAATAAAAAAGTTATACTCAGAATTTTGACTGTGGAGAGAGTTGGTATCCCCAGCCCCCATATGGTTCAAGGGTCAACTGTACAAATAGTCAATAAACATTGGAAAAGATAATTGACATCATTATACCATCAGGGAAATGCAAATCAAAACCAAAATGAGTTACCACTTCATACCCACTTAGGATGGCTATAAAAACAAGAAAAAACAGAAAAGTGTTAACAAGGATGTGGAGAAACTGGCACCTTCCTATTGCTACTGGTGGAATGTAAAATTGCACAGCTGGTGTGGAAAATAGTCTGGCAGTTCCTTAAATGGTGAAACGTAGAGTTACCAATTCCACACCCAAGTATCTACCCAAGAGCATTAAAAACAAGTGTCAACACACTGTACACAGATATTCACAGCCGCATTATTCACAATAGCTAAAAGATGGAAACAGCCCAAATATCCATCAATTGATGAATGAATAAATAAAATGTGGTCTGTCCACACAATAGAATACTACCCAGCAACTAGAAGAAAAAAAAGTGATAGATGCTACAATGTGGATGAACCTTGAAAACACCATGTGAAGTGAAAGAAGCCAATCACTAAAGACCATATATTGTATACTTCCATTTAAATGAAATAGCCAGAGGAATGGGATTTCTTATTGGGGTGATGAAAATGTTCTAAAATGGATAGTGGTGATGGGTACACACCACATGGCACGCTTTAGTCCATGGGGTTGCAAAGAGTCGGACACAACTTGGCAACTGAACAACATGGTTGCACAACTCTGAATATACCGAAAACCACTGAATCTTACACTTGAATGTGTGAATTGTATGGTATGTGGATTATACTTCAATGAAGCTGTTAAGAAAACAAACACAAAAAAACCCAGGCTCAGCCCTGACTCTCAGATCATGGTGAAACCTTTCTAAACCTGTTTCCTCAGCTGTAAAATGGGGATGTTGGATTTCATCAAGGTCAGGATCAAGTCGTATAGACCCAGGGTCCCATCTTGGCTCAGTTGCTGACCCACTATGTGCCCTGGGACCACCTGCTTCAATTTTTGGAGGCTGAGGTTGCTCATCTGTGGAATGGGGATTAAAAAAAAAAAATCCTTGAAGAGGAATCCAGAAGAAAGAACTTGGGCTTTTGAATCAGGCATTTCTAGGCTGAATCCCACCTCAGGCACTTACAAGCGATATGAATGGTGCCAAGTCAGATTTCTTTCTGAGCTTCAGTTCCCTTATCTGAGAAATGGAGGGAATCTTAGCTGAACCAGGGGGACGCAGAGGAAGGAAGGGGCCCACCTGGACTTGTAGACCACATTGCTCTCCAAGAGCTGCACAGTTAACATTTGGCCCGGTGGGGTTGCGACTTCAGGGACCTGTCTGGGCTAGGGGTTAAACGTTTTGCATCTGTTCCATCAACGCCTACCAAGCACCTAGGTACAATGAACTCCCTGTGCCAGGCTCTAGGGATGCTTATGGGCCTCTTGGCAGGGCTGGGGGCACTTACTCCATGATGAATGAGTTGTTAGTTGCTGTTAAGTTCAACACTGCCATGTACCCACTCCCCTGCCCCACTGCTCTGCACCTGCTGTCCGTGACCACCCAGACAGTCTCCACCTGCAGCATGGGCATTTCTTAGGCCCATTCTACACAGGCAAAGCCAAGGCTCCAGTCAGTGGACCTGGTGTGTGCACTGCCCACGATGTGCCCCAACTCTTTTTACACCCTCAACTTTCTGGGCATTAGAGGCTGTTCTTCCAAGCAGTGGCAAATGAGGCTGTTGAAGGGGGCAGATCTGAGGTTACAATACAGGCAAATGTTACTATTTGCAGCCCCCTCTTGCTCAGAGTCCCCTTTCAGGGACCACCTGATGACAAGATGCTGGAGGGGGATGATGGGTGGGGGCCTCCTCACACCCACACTGATGGGTGCGGGGACCCTGCTTCTGACGGGAAAGCAAACAGAGGCACTGAGTTTCATCCCTTGTCCCAGGTCTCTCAGTCAAAAAACGGCAGACCCTGGACTCCCATCCAGCCTTCCTGGTGCCCAAGCCTGAGCGCCAGACTGGACCACAGACCACCTCATCACTCGCCCTTGTTTCCTGAGCACCTCGGTCCCCGGCCTTGCCAAGCTCCCCGAAGTCTGCAGCCCACCCACTGGGCTCACCTTGGCTGGGAGGTCAAGATCATCGCCTCGCTTCACAGGTTGGGGAACGGACTCAGAGATCTGGCCAGAGCCATGAAGTGCCGGGGGTGGGCTGCCGGTGTGAGTCCTGAGCCTTTCCAACCCAGTAACTTGTTTCCCTAAATCCTCCTGTTGTCACCCTCAGCCCCGCAAGGCAGACGTGATCTTGTCCATTTCACCAGGCAGGCTGGGGGTGGGGAGTGGGGGGACTCCTTTCACCTCTGGGGGGGTCCCGTCAGCGTCCAGCATGGCCCTGCGAGCTGGGATGGGGCTCTGCCTCGCCCACGCACCGACAGCAGACAGCAGGATCCGAGGGAAGCGGATCCAGAGCCTCAAGCCCTCCCCCCGCCTCCCCCTGACCTGGGAGAGCAGCTTAATGTTTCCATATAAAGGCGACAAGGGGCTTAAGGTGCGTCAACTTCGTTTCAAAGTCACTGTCTAATCTGGGGCCGAGAAGCCCCGCCCAGGTGCTGCCCCCCTGCCCCCCACCATAGAAGCACTTTCACACGCTCCCTGAGACCCTGGCTGTCCCCCCCACCCTCCCCCCNCGGGGGGGCTGGGGGTGGGGCCAGCTCAGAGCCGCAGAGGGGGAGCCAGGGAGGATGGCCAGGCAGGATGGCTGGGCTGCGGCCCAAGCAGGCTGGAGAGGAGACAGCGGTGGCGGAGAAGAGACACAGGGGGAGGGGGTGCGGAGACAGAGCCTGGGGGCCAGGAGATGCAGAAAGGTGGGGACACAGTTGAGGAAACAAAGAAATGGTGAGAAAGTGATGATGAGGGTAGGAGCGGAAGGATGAGAGACAGGGATCCCTGGCTCCCCTGAGATGATGCCTTAAGAGGGAGGGCCACACATGAGATAACTCTTCCCCAACGAGAGACCAAGAGTGAGTTCCAGATAGAATAAAGTTTAGGAGAGGCAGAACCAGACAGTGCCAATGGGCTATAGGCTGGACCCAGCAGTCCAGGGAGAGCCAGGTGCCAAATCCTTCCTCCTCCTCCTCGTTTCCTCATGAGACGGCGGCCAGAAGGACAAGTCCCCACAATTCAGGTTCCATTCTGGTCCTTTATTGCCTCTCAAGAGCCCCTAAGTCCCCCCCGCCACAGTGCCTGTCTCTGGGAAGAGGGGAGAAGGCTCCACCCAGTCAAACCCAGCTGGCAGGAAGACAAGGGCCACAGCAAATTCTGCTGGAGGAACCCACACGTCAAATTCGGTCCAGCCACTCTAAGGCACTTGAGTTCCCTGAGGGAGACCAGTGGCAGGGAGATCAGAGTCAAGCCCAGGGCCTGCAACTGACAAAATACCCACAGCAACACAGGACACACCAGGCCTATCTGGGAAATGGGCTAATGGTCTCTTCTACAGGTGGGGCTCACTGGGTTGACCCAAGTCTTTGGGTCGGAGGGTTCACTGGAGACAACTGCAGTGGTTTTACAGGGCCATGAGTCAAACCAAGTGCTTCAGTTGGAGGAATCAAGGGCAGCAAACCAAATCTTACTTTTAGAGCCACTTACTTTTAGAGTCAAACCATCTCTCTTAGCAAGAGAGGCATTGGACCAAACCAAGTCCTTTCAAAGAACAGTAAGTGAAACAGAATCCATCATGGCAGACAACGGGCCAAACCAAGTCCTTTTGGAGAGGCGCTGTCCAGCAGATCTGAATGAGTCCCTTCCAGGGAAATGATGAACTTTCAACTTCAGTTCCAAGTAAGTGGAGGACCAGACAGACTCGGCCAGGCCAAGCTCAGACGCTGATGGTGCGGAAGACGGTGAAGCCCGACAGGGCGGTGCTGACCAGCACCCCGGGGCACTGTGGGTGCCAGTGCAGCTCCTTCAGATCCGTCTCGCCCTGGTGCACAAACAGCAGCTGCTGGGGGAGGTCGGCCAGCCCCGGGTCTGTCTCTGCGTCACCGGCCTCAGGGTCCCGCTCCACGGCCAGGTCCCACTGTGTAATCTGGTTGTCCGCACCCGAGGCCGCAAAGACCCCACTGTCCTGGGGGTGCCACTCGACGGAGGTCACGGGGGCCACGTGCTGCTTGAAGGTGGCCACTGGGGAGCCAGACTACGGGAAGATGGGAGTCAAAGCATCTGAGTCCCTCAGCCTGACTCCAGGGGTGACCCAGGCAGAGCCCCCCACCCCTCTCCAGCCTTAGGGTTCAGCCAGACCTTCACCCCTCCAGCCCCCAAAGACTGAGGGTCTCTTAAAGGGATGGAGGGCAGAGTACAGCTGGTAATAAAGGGGTAGTGTCCCAGGGCCTGCTGGGAGTTGTGGCTTCACCTGCAAAGAAGCCCCTCCCAGCCCCAGGTCACAGCCCCCCAATCCCTGCTCCTTTCCGGGCCTGCCTCCGCCTCCTTCCCTGTAAAAGGAAGGTGTGGGGGACTTCCCTTGTGGTTAAGACTCTGCACTTCCAATACAGGGGGTGCCAGTTCAAACCCTGGCTGGCTGGGGAACTAAGATCCCATGTGACCCCATGCAGCCAAAATAAATAAATAAAACTGGATCTTCAAAACAAATTTTTAAAAGTAAATTAAAAAAATTAAAACATCCCACCACCTCCCCCGCCCAGAAGGCCAGGTTTTGTAAGTGCTCTCCCGGTGATTCTAGCCTTAAAGGGGGCACAGGCATGACTCCCAGGCTCGAGAGAGAGCAGATGCAAAGGAAAGCATTTTTACTAAAAGCACGGCTGCTGGGGGGGGGATCGGCATGTCTCTAACTTGGAGGGGTGGTTCCAATGTTTCAACCTGGCCCTGTGATCTACCTGGCCATGCACCTGCCTGGGAGGGGGAAGGGGGTTGGAATCCACGTCAAAAAGCTTCCCCAGGGCTGATTCTGTAGAACTCATTACACTGGAGGAGGAGTAAAAAGATGATCCTGGGAAGGCCCAGAGGTGTATGGAGTCATGGCTTTGTCCAGGGCGAGGCCCGGAGCTCCTCTCAGCTACACAGAGTCACCACGAAGCTGGGCGATCATATCCTATCTCCTCCCATCCCTTCTGGGCTTCCGTGCCTATTCCCAGCATGACTAAGCTGAGCTCTGTTCTCAGCTGACCCTATGAAATCCACCTACAATCCTTGAGCCCTTGAGCCCCTGGGCAACATGGCCAGTGTACGGCTCCCCTCGGGCAGATGGGAGTTGTAGTCTCTGCTAGGCCCAGCCCCATTCCTCCCGTCAACCCTCCAGATGGTAGAGGCAGCGACCCCAAAGCAGCCCCAAGCCTTCCTCTCGCCGACCCTGTTTCCTCATCAGTACCCCAGTTCTGATGGCAGAGCCCTGCCAGCTCTGGTGTATAAGCCATCTCAGAAGGGAAAACCCACAAATCCTAGCGGCTGCTGGGACGGTACCTTGAACTGCCGCAGGTCCCAGACCTTGAGGGCTCCGTCGTCCCCACCGCTGAGCAGGAAGGGCTCCCGGCGGCTCCAGTTGATGACGTTGACGTCCCCGTCGTGGGCGGTGGCGGTGGTGAGCATGCAGGCCTTGCTGGGGGCTGCCCGGATGTCCCAGATGCGGATGGAGGCGTCAGCTGAGCAGGAGGCAAACACCTGGACAGGGCAGAGTTGGAGAGACGCTGGTGGACCCCTGCCCCACCATGAAGACCGGGGACCAGTGGTGGGCCTCCCTTTCTTTTAGTGACGCCCCCTTCCCGGCCCCCTCCTTCTTCCCAAGACCCCAGAATCCAGACCCCCAACCCCTTCCTTACCGTGTCCTCGGTCGGGGACCACTGCAGGTCTTCCACGGAACGTGTGTGGCCCACAAATGGCCGCTGGTCCACGTGCCAGGAGCCCCCGTCTGCTGGCGTCCAGAGGTGGATGTTCTTCTGACAGTCACCGGTCAGTAGGCGACCTGGGCAAGGCAGTTAGGACTCTTGACCTCATCACACTCAGCTGGCTGTGGCTCACCAGACCCTGTTCCCACTCACCCCCGGGACTCACCGGGCACACGAGGGGACCAGTCAAGGGCAAAGCCCTCGCCCATGTGGCCAGAGAAGGTGAAGATGGGCTTCACACGGGTCTGCTCATCCCGGAGGAAGGTGGCCAGGGCCTGGGGGTCATCCACTACTTGCAGGAGTCGCCGCAGTGCAAACACTTCCACCTGGCCCTTCTCTGACCACACGCCAGCCACTGGCTCCTCACCCAGCCACGACACCTGCAGGGTAGGGAGGAGGGGAGGGGAGGTGAGCAGGACAGGAGGCACAGCATGACGACGACAGCCCTTTCATCCCTGAGAACCAGAGCTGCCTCCCACCCAGGCCTGGGACTACAACTCCCAGAAACCTTTGCGAGAAGAGGCTCACAACTTGAAGACCAGCTTGGTCTCCAGGACAACTCCCTCCACTGTGGTACAGATGATGGCGGAGGGAGGACAGAACTCCTGGACTCCCAAGAATTGAGCCCCTGGAAATCTGTTCAGACTTCTGGTCTCTGGAACTAAGTCTAGGCAGGTCCGAGGCCCCAGTCTCCGGATCGCTCTGCCTGTGTACCTTCGCTCACTAGGAGATCCTGTTCAGCCTCAAGGTTTCCAGTAGCCCCTAGCCCTGACCTCTCAACTCCAAGCTCACATCAAACTGTTTATAGACGCCCCAGGGCCAAAGCCAAGCTCCTAATGGCCCACTGCTACCTGCTCCTCCCTGGAGGTCCCCACCTTGGGCTCACTGCCCACTCGTCTCTCCCTCCTCACACTATGCTGGCTCCACCCACAACGCCACCACTTCCAACCCTTTCTCAGCAGCTCTGCTGTCATCAGTCAGGCTACTACTGAGGTCACCCTGCATTCCTGTCCCGGCCCCTCACAGGTCCCCGTCCTCCTGCCCTGGCCTCCATGCAGCACACAGAGGGATCCCTTTAAAACACAAGTCAGGTCCCACCCGCCCTGTGCTCTAAACCCTCCAGTGACTCCCAGTTTCTCCCCACACAAAAGCCAAGTCCTTACGATGGCCCACAAGGCCCTAAACAATCTGTCTCCTCCATGCCCATCCGCCAAACCCTGTCACTCTCCCCCTCATCCATTCAGCACCATTCTCCCCAACTTCCCTCAAAACTCCTCAATCAGTTTGCCCCAGGGCCTTTGCACTTGTTAGTCCCTTGCCAGGAAACCTTCTCACAGATATCCTTGCTTCACTCCCTCACTTCCTGTGGGTTTCGGTTCAAAGGGCACCTTATCTGTGAATGCTTCCTTGACCACACTGTTTAACCTAGCAACCCCAGGGGCTTCCCTGGTGGTCTGGAATCTGCCTTTGCAGTGCAAGGGACACTGTTCTGATCCCTGGTCTGGGAAGATCCCACATGCTTCGGCAACAAAGCCCATGCTCCAGAGCTACTGAGCCAGTGCTGCGGAGCCTGACAGCGTCAACTACTGAGCCCACACGACGTAACTACTGAAGCCCTTGCACCATAGAGCCTGTGCGCTGCACCAGGAGACGCCGCTGCCAATGAGAAGCCCGAGGATCGAAATGAAGAGTAGTCTCTGCTCGCTGCAACTAGGGAAAGCCAGAGTGCAGCAACAAAGACCCATTACAGCTAAAAAACTAACTAACTAAATAAAATAGCAAGCCCATTCCAGAAGACCCTAACTCCCTTACCTTGTTTTATTTTTCTTTACAACACTTGGAGCATTTGGACATTACACATATGCTTAGTTTCTTATCCCCTGTCCCACTGGCATGTAAGTTTCATGGAGCCAGAGACCTTTTGTTCCCTGTTAACTCCCCAGGTCTAAAACAGTATGTGCAACATAGTAATACCTCAATGGAAACACTTCTCAAAAACTATGGGCTAAGCACTGCTCCAAGCACTATTGCACAGGGCATCTTGTTCAATTCTCACATCGACCTGATTAGAAAGAGCTATAATTCTGAATCACAAAAGTGATCCCACAGCCCAGGACACTCCCTGAGAAATAACAGAAAACACACAGATCTCATGTTACCGCCAAGTGCTGTTTCTAGACCCCTGAAATCATCGTATTTCAGTTATCGAAATAGGAGTACTGGCTATTCCATTTTATCTTCACATCAGCCCCACCAAGTAAGTTTGGTAATTCTCACCACACTACAGAAGAGGAAAGAACATTTTTAAAAAACATCCCCATGGCATCTAGCACATAGTGACAACGATCACAATTAACACATAACTAATTTAAAAAACTATGTGCCAAGTGCTCTTCTTAAAGCTGAAGGGTATGGACGTGGGGGATGGTGTGCTCCAGAGTACACAGGGCAGGATCCTAGGGATGCATTTACCCGAACTCTGTTGATGCCTCCATAGTGGGGCACCATAGCCAGCTCCAGCTGAGGTTTCCGCTCTTCTTCATCCTCTTCGTCGTCCTCCTCCTCTTCGTCGTCGCTGCCCTCGGACGGTGGGGGCTTTGTCCCATGCAGATTGTGCATCCGAAGCATCATCAATCTGGGGACGGTGTGGGAGGAATGAGGCACAGGATGGCGGGATCCTTAGGAAGGAGGGAGGGAGGAGGCTGGAAACCCCGACTTCTAGGTCCTGAGGAAGAGGAAGCTGAAGGCTCAGACGCCCCTAGCCCTGTAAAGCCTCAGTTCTTACCTGTTGCTTTGGGCGCTCTCGGCCTGGGTCCCAGCACACAGGTAAAGTGTAAGAGGAAGCTCAGTCCGGTTGTCTCCCAGGTGATCCCGGACTATGTCGAAGCTGAGACAGGGGGCGCCTGGGAATGGAAGGAGGGATGGGAAAATTAGGATCGGACAGAGAGGTCTCAGCCCTCTTGAGTGTAATGTCAATTCTCTTAGATCCTAATTTCTCTTTCAAAGAGCCTCTTTTGTTACGGGTTCAGAACCAGCTCCCCTCAGGACCCAAGATTCCAGTCTCCTCCTTCGTGAGGACCCAGGACACCGGGTGCCCAGCCCTACCCGTCTGTGCTCGGTGGTACAGCACGTAGGCCTCCTCATCCATGACCAGCTCCTCTCCTTCGCGCAGCGGCGGTCCTCGACCAGGTAGATAGACCTGAGCCTGGCCCTTGGACCCTGTTTCTTGGGATTCGGTCTCCATAGACTCCCCAGGTTCACACGTGTGCCGCTGACCCTTGCGCGCCGCCATCTTCGAAGCCTCTCGCCGCTGGCGGGCGGTAATAGCGTCACTTCCGGGTTGCGGTTTCCCTTCTTAGGAGGACCCGCCCTACTGCGCGGTTACCTTGGAAACCTCCTGGTTCACCATTAGACAGGGCGATGGGGAGAGGGCGAAGAAGAACTAAGAAAACAGCATCCTGGCTTGGCTACCGAGGCCTGCAGATCCGAGGCAACTATACCCTCCCCGTGACTTTGGGGCGCTCTTCCGCAGAGCGGCGGCAAGGCCTCCTGGGAGTTGTAGTTCTGCAGGAGCCCTGCTTTCCCATCAACTATACAGGCACTCCAGACTCGGATTCCATCTTCCACCTTTGATTCCCAATGCTTTCTTACTTAATTAATTATTCGTGCATGCAAATAAGAGCTTTTACTGGCAAGGAGGCTAGGTTTCTGCTCCCTGAGGATTCATAAAGCCTATTTCTTTTCCCCTCCTTGTTATGAAGGCTTTAATTTACTTCAAAATGCTTAAGTGTAGGCAGGATGATATGTATAAATTAGTTCGTTGGATCTACCCTCTAGGGGTAGTCAGTTGCCTAACCAGGCGTTCACGGTGCAGCCCTGGTCAGCAAGCACTTAATCAGAAAGTCCACCCTCTAGAGGCAGCTACTACAAGTGCTTGCGCTCTTTTTATTGCCCATCAACACCAGAGATTTGGCTAATTGGCATAATGAAATGTTAGAAATAGATTCTCATTGGTGAGATTAACAGAATTCAAGATATGTGAATTGGCTAGGATATAATAGACACTCACCTCCCTTGCATGAACAGGATATTAAGAACCTAGCAAGCCTCATTGCTTGCTGCCATAGGAATGGTACCCTAGACTTATCCTAAAATGTTATGACCCCAGATCTTTCTTGAGTTCTCTGACACCTCTTCTCCTTCTGCCCCCACCCCTTCTCAGCCCACCCCAGCTTTTTTGGCCTAGCTGCGTAGTTTGGGGGATCTTAGTTCCCCAACCAGGGTTCAAACCCTTGCAGTGGAAAGGCAAAGTCCTAATCACTGACCGTCAGGGAATTCTCTCAGCCCTTCTCTTCTTAGAGTCTTTTCTCACCACTTCTTTCTGGGTCTTTATTTGCCACCTCCCTCCAGGATCTCTCTGTTCTTGCTGAAATTTTCTTTCTGCCCCCTCTTCCTCTGTAGGACTTTTCTCGGTTTCTGTTTCCTCCAGAGAAGTTTGAAGGGGACTAAGAGAAAGACACGGTGCTCACACTGGGCTTGAGGAGGCATAAAAACATGGGTTTATTCCAAACACTGCAATGTGGTACAGGAGAGAGGGAAAAGAGGTTGGTAGTGAGTGTGGACTCCCAGACTCCTCCCTTCCACAACCCAGCTCCAGACCCGGCTGGAGATCTGGGAGGTGGAGGTTTTGGGGCGGGGTGGGGTGGGGTAGGGTCTGCTTCGTCTTTACTGAAAGGGTTGGATTTGGAGAGGATATGGCCGGTGGCACCTGGGGCTGGTCGTGAGTTGCGACAGGGTGGTAAGTTTTGGCTTGATGGAGGTTGGGATCAACGCTGGGGCAGTGGAGGCGGGGCTTCGTTGGGGGGCGTGTCCTAGGACAAAAGAGGGGAAAGCTACTGAGGATGAAAAAGGAGAAGGGGGTGTCACGGTTTGACGTCGAGGGTCACAGTCTGGTCGGGGCACAGTCTGGGGCTAGGGTCACAGTTTGGGGTCAGGGGTCACAGTCTGGGGTCGGATGACCATTTTCAGGGGTCGGAAGTCACAGTCTGGGGTCAGGGGTTTCTGTGTGGCGGGGCCAAGGTCTGGGGTCACAGTTTGGCGAACGCGTCTCACAGTTTCGAGTCCCGATGGATGAAAGGTTAAAAACGGGCTTCCCCGGAGGCGTGCCTGGGGGGCCGGGGAGCTGCACAGTGATGTGGGGGCCACGGCCCCGGGCGTGGGGGAGGGACGCGGGCGTGGCGTGACCCCGCCACCTCCCGCCCCGTCTGGTGACGTTAAAAAGCCCTTGTCGGGTTTAAAAAAAAGTCCAGTGGGCTCTGAGACCCCCGCCCCCTTGCTCCCAGGCTAGGTGAGATTTGAGGGACCAAATCCCCTCCGGTTTGAAGTGCCCCCCATAGCGAGGGGCGCAGGACGCTGCTCCAGGCGGGGTCCGGCCAGTTCCATTTTCTTCATTTCCAACCCTCACGGGTCCTGTCCACCCCGCGTGCCCCCTCGGGCTGTGGCCTGCGCTGACCGAGGGGGCGGCGGGGCCTCCCAGGCCGCGTCATACCTCGGACTCGAGGCTGGAGAAGTGCGCCGAGCCCCGGCGGGTACCCAGGTCCCCGCCCCGGTGTCTCCGGTGGGGCGCGGCTGGCAGCGGCGGCCCCCAGTGAGCGGCGTGCGGACACCGGCGCGCGTGGCGGGAGGGCCCGGTAAGCCTGCGCGCGGGGGCGGCGCGGGGACACGAGCTGAGGTCCTCGAGCGATCGCGANGGCCGCGGCGGCAGGGGGCGCGGGCGGCGACGGGAAGCCTGGGAAGGCGCCGGCGGGGGGCTCGGCCGGCTCCTTGTCGCGCACGATGGCGAAGTAGGAGGGCGGCGGCTTCTGTGGCGGCTGCGTGGCCGGCGGAGACAACGGGCGCCCAGTCGCGCCCCGGGGCGCTGCGCGCGCCTCTCCCACGCCCACGCCCAGGCCCTGCGGCTCGATGGGGCCGTAGTAGCGGTGGAAGCCGTCGGCCAAGCCCGCCCCGCCCGGTGGCCCCGCACCTTTGGCGCGGCGCCAGCGGTCCACGGCTGCGCGCTCGCGCGGCACGAAGGGCGCGGGGCCCGGCGGAGGCCTCGCCGTTGGGTATGCAGGGCTGGGCAGCGGCTGCGGCGGTGGCGGGGGTTTGGCGGGCGGCGGCGCAGCCTCTGCGCTGCAGCAGCTGTACATGCCCTGTAGGGGCCGCGGGAGGAGCTGGGTCAGCGCGGGATGCTGGGGACCACCTGCCTTCCCTCCATCCCTCCGTCCTCTTCCGCACCCGACCCCTCCAGCTGCCTTCCACTTCTCGCCATCCCTGCCAGTTTCTTCCCTTCTCTCCTCCTCCGCCCCCCTCTCTCCCCCGTACCCTGGAAAAGGCCAGCAGGAAATCCATGCGGTGGGTAGGCCCCAGGCAATGCCGCAGGCGCCAGTACACCAGGTGCTCCCAGGCGAAGACCAGCAGAGAGAGGCCCATGGCCACCAGGAGCATGTAGAAGACGCCTGCCATGTTGTCGATGTCCAGCTTGCTGCTCATAACCTCGATCTTGTCATTGTGGCAGATTCCGGAGAGCCACAGCCGTTCCAGCATCTCGATCTCATCTGCGGACAGGTGGGTGGGCGGTCACTTTCCGTGGGCACTCTCTGAGGATCCTCTTCTCTGATATGAAAGTCTAGGTTCTCAGACCCTCCCCCACCACCTTTCCCCAGAACCCAGGGGTCTTTGCCTCCCATCCCCCACTTTCCCTACCCACCCACCCCCCTCCCCCAGGCATCTCTGCGTGCAGCCGCACCATCCCCCAGGAACTGCAGCAGTGCCAGATCAATGGGCCGCTTCCAGCGGGAACCCTTGTGCAAGGCGATGCCATAGCCCGTGGTGGCAAAGACCTTGCCCGAGCCAATGGTGACGAGCTTGCAGCCCTCATCTTTGCGGGCCATGTAGTTGAGCACAGCCGCGTCATAGATGAAGGCGTCCAGCTTCCTGCAGGCAGGGGCATGAAAGGCAGAGTCAGTCCCACCCAGATGCCCAGATGGCCAACCCAGAGCCCCGCTAACTCCTAACCTCCATCTGCTCCAGATCCTAACTGGTGGTGAACTCCTCAGCAAGCCACTGCACCTTTTTGTGCCTCAGTTTAAACATCTGTCCAATGGGGACAGCAGCAACACTCCCTTCCAACGATGGCTTGGAAGGGAGCCAAGGTGGTCCCACAGATAGCCATGGGAGCAAAGCAAGTGCTGGAGAAACGTTAGCTGTGAGTGTCAATGAAATAACTACTTGTTCAGTCCCTACTGGAACCTTCCAAAAGAAGGTCCTGCATATGCCTCTATTTATTTTAAAATTGTATTTATTTAAATATTTATTTATTTGACTGTGCTGGGTCTCTGTTGTTGTCACTCAGTTGTGTCTGACCCTTTGTGACCCCATGACTGCAGCACGCCAGGCTCCCCTGTCCTTCACCATCTCCCAGAGTTTGCTCAAACTCATGTCCATTGAGTCGATGATGCCATCCAGCCATCTCATCCTCTGTCACCTTCTTCTCCTCCTGCCCTCAATCCTCGTCCTGTGCTGGGTCTTAGTTGGATCTAGTTCCCTGACCGGGCCCTCTGCATTGGGAGCCTGGAGTCCTTGTCACTGGACCAGCAGGTAAGTTCCCTACTCCTCCATTTTAAAGAGGAGGGCTGAAGCTCAGACAGGAGAATCACACAAATAATAATAATGTTAATGATGACTTCTGTTGTGCCATGAATTCTTCTAGCTACTATAATAACTCGGTTCTGTCAACATTCCTATGCGGTAGAAACCATCATCTCCGTTATTCAGACCAGGAAACGCAGGCCCAGACATGCATCTTAATTTGCTTGGGTTCTCCCTCTAGGCCCTGATTTCTACAATGTGGTGGGAAGACAAGCACAGATTCTGAGTTAGTGGTTCTCAGAGATGAACACGTTGTGGCAGTTGCCGCACGTCACTTCCTTTTCACCTACTGCCGTTTCACGTTTACTTCTGTGATGATCTGATTAATCTCAGCCTCTCCCACCAGACCACAAGACCCTCTAGGATAGGGTCCAAGACCCATCACATTCCAGGCTGTGACCCAGCAGTTCCTGACACAAACAGGGTGGCGGTTATATTTGTGGGATAAATGAAAGAATGATAAAGGAATCCACACTTCTGTGGGTTACACACTGTGTAACTATCCTGTGACATAAGATAACTGCTCTCAATATGACCTATGAAGATGTCCAGGGTATCTTAAAGAGAAAAAAAAAAAAAAATCTAGTCCTGGTATCTTAGATAGAATAGAGTTCCATACTTATTTCCTGGGGTGAAATTTTGGTCAGCTTAACTGTAGACACCAGACTAGTTCTCAGAAAGAGAACTAGTCTTGTCTAGTCCAACACTGTCCAAAAGAACATTCTGGGATGCTGGAAATGTCCCATCTGCACTGTCCAACATGGCAGCCACCAGCCCCCTGTGGCTCCAGAGCACTTGAAATGTGACCAGTCCAACAGAGGAATGGAACTTTAAGTTGTATGTATTTATTTACTTTTGGCTGCTGCAGCGCATGGGATCTTAGTTCCCCAACCCGGGATCAAACCCTCACCCCCTGCAATGGAAGCATGAGTCTTACTGGGCCACCAGGGAAGTCCCAAATTGTATCTAATGTTAGTTAGTTCAAATTTCCCCTTCATGGATCACAGCCTTGTTGTGGGGCAGGGGCTTGAAAGGTCCGTCTAGTCAAAGCTGTGGTTTTTCCAGTAGTCATGTATGAATGTGAGAACTGGACCATAAAAGAGGCTGAACACCAAAAAACTGGTACTTTCAAACTGTGGTGCTGGAGAAGATTCTTGAGAGTCCCTTGGACTGCAAGGAGATCAAACCACTCAATTTTAAAGGAAATCAACCCTGGATATTCATTGGAAGGACTGATGCTGAAGTTGAAGCTCCAGTACTTTGGCCACCTGAGGCAAAGAGCCAACTCATTGCAAAAGACATGGATTCTGGGAAAGATGGAAGGCAAAAGGAGAAGAGGGTGGCAGAGGATGAAATGGCTGGATGGCATCACTGACTTAATTGACATGAGTTTGAGTAAACTCCAGGAGATGATGAAGGACAGGGAAATCTGGTATGTTGTAGTTCATGAGGTCACAAAGAGTAGGACACAACTGAGCAACTGAACAACTGGTGGTATAGTGGTTAAGAATCCTCCTTCCAATGCAGGGGATATGGGTTCGATCCCTGGGTGGGGAACTAAGATCTGATATGCCTTGAAGACAAAAGTAAATAATAAACAAATATTTTTTAAAATTTGAAAAAAAAAAAAAAAGAGGAGCCACATGAATGAATTCAGACTGGTTCAAGACCAGCATTCTGGGTGCCGGTCCCTGGAGCTAAGAGGTAAGATTTCGTTAATAGGGAAAAAATGCAAAGAGGCTTTCCTCCACGGTCAAAGCAAGAGAACAGTGTGTACTTTTAGTGAGGAATGTATAAAGAGGTGTGTGCATACATGGTTTAATTGATCTGGAAAAAAAAAATGAAAAATAACGCTTCCTTTAGGGAACTTAAATGGGGACTTGATGTTTCATTTTTGGCCCTTCTAATATGAGTGAGAAATTGAACCTCTCTCATGGGCGAGGCTTCCAGAACTGACTGGGAGGAGAAGCTGTGTTTCTTTATTCATTTTTAAGAAATGCAGTGCCTTTCTCTCCCCGTGAGGTTGCTTGCCCTCAGCAGTAGGGTAAGCACACATCTGGTATGTGAGCCAGGCAAAGTCTCTCGAGGCTGCCAATGCCCTTGTACCTCTCTGTAAGGATGGAATTTTCTAGTGTTGTCCACAGTGGTGGCTATTTGAACTCCAATTTTAATTAAACTTTAAAATTCTGGAGTCACACCAACCACACCTCCAGTGATCAAAAGCTGTTGGCTACCATATCAGACTGCCCAGGTTTAGCATGTTTCCATCATCAGAGAAAGGGCTCTAGGAAAGCGCTGCTCTACACATGTGTCCGTCTGGTATCCAGACTAGAATGGAAGCTCGAGGAGAGCAGAGACTTCAATTTGCTCACTGCTAGACCCTGAGTGCCTAGCCCAGTGCCTGGTGCAAAAAGACCGTTCTGTTTTTTTTTTTAGTTCTACCAGTTTATTGCTACCAACCCATCTCCCTCCACCCTCGTGCACACATGCTCTGTCATGTAATCCCATGGACTTCAGCCCGCCAGACTCCTTTGTCCATGGATTTTTCCAGGCAAGAATACTGGGGTGGGTTGCCATTTCCTTCTCCAGACCGTTCTGTTTTATATCTTTATGTGTGCTCACCCCACAGACTATAGCCCAACAGGCTCCTCTGTCCAGGGGATTTTCCCAGCAAGAATACTGAAGTGGGTTGCCATTTCCTCCTCCAGGGGATTTTTCGCAACCTAGGGATAGAATCTGCATCTTTTGCAATGCATGCGGATTCTTTACCGCTGAGCCACTGGTTTCCCAAAAGAAGACTTTAATAAATATTGACTGGATGAATGGATAAGTGCCTTTTAACTTTTATATCATTAGGGGTATCTTGCAGCAGCATCATGACCCATTATTTGGTTTCTTTCTTGGTCCTCTCTATATTAAAAGCACACACACACACACACACACACATATAGTATGTACACAGATACATGTACATATTCATATATATATAGGGGCTTCCCAGGTGGCACCAGTGGTAAAGAACCCAGCTGCCAATGCAGGAGACATAAAAGACACGGGTTTGATCCCTAGGTCAGGAAGATTCCCTGGAGAGGGAAATGGCAACCCACTCCAGTATTCTTGCCTGGAGAATGCTATGGACAGAACAGCCTAGTGGGCTACAGTCCATGGGGTCGCAAAGAGTTGGCCAGGAGTGAAGCAACTTAGCACCACACATGCATTCATATAGATATACAGAGAGACAGGAAAAGAGACCGAAAAATACTGACACTGGGGAATCCCCCAATACAAATGGTCCAGACAGCCCACCCCACAGTGAAGTCTATAGTTAAAACCCTGCTTATGTACTCACAGGTACACAACTTCCAAAGTTTTGGATGCCTACTCCCAAATATGAACTGACTACCAGAGGTTACTAGACACCAGATAAAGCCTCTAACAAAATTAAAGATAGAAATAGGGACTTCCCTGGCAGTCCGATGGTTAGGACTCCACACGTCCACTGCAGAGGGCACAGGTTCAGTCCCGAGTCAGGGAACTAAGATCTCATAAGCCACACCACATGGCCAAATAAACAAATAGCGGGGAGAGGGAACTTGGAGGAAAACATTATATGGAGAGAAAATGTTAAAAAACCAAAACTCAGCAACTATCATTAATGTCATCAGAAAAAGAAGACAAGATACTGCAACTCTGAACCACTAATAGGGTTTTATGAAGTAGGATACTACAGGGACTTCCCTGGTGGTGCAGTGCATAAGGACCGGCTGCCCATGCAGGAGACGCAGACGCGATTCCTGATCTGGGAAGACCCCACGTGCCGCCGGGCAACTAATAAGCCTGGGAGCCACAACTACTGAGCCCACATGCCGCAACTAAGCGTTTGCATGTCACAGCAAAGATCGAAGATCCCACGTTATGAAGAACTAAGACCTGGTGCAGCCAAATAAATAGTTTTAAAAGTCTGTATTTGACTCTCCAAACTATATGGATGTATAACGCTGACCAAAATTGAATGAAAAATTAGAAAAAATGTTAAAAGGAAAATTGAGGAGAAAAAGAATTCAGCAGAAGCAGGAAATCCGAGCAAGAGGTGACAGTGAGAAACACAGGGGGATCCTTTGTAGATCCACCAAGCTTCTGGGTAAGGGGCAGAGGAGGAAGAGTCTGAGTTTCTCACTGGATGAGTGAGGTTATATAGTGCAGTGGCTGAGAAGTTGGGCTGAGAATCAGACTGCCAGGGTTCAAATCCCAACTCATCCCCTCAGCAGAATTGTAGGGTCTTACCA